TTACTCCATAACTGGAAGAGCTACAAATGCATAAAGCTCGCGTTTTAAAAGTCAAAGGCAAGTGATTGTTTTTACTTGGAGGCATGAAAATTGTTTAATAATGAGTTTATGTTCAATTCATTCTCCAAAGTCCGTTGTACAGAAAACGTGTCATGTCGATCATATATTAAAATCAGTCACTGTAAAATGTCGTCTGACTAATAGGATAAATAATTAGTGTGTACACATTGATCAAATAACAAACTTCTTTTTATTTTATTTTGATGTCTACTGAATCTAAAATGAAAAGAAAAAGAAGCAGAGAAACTGCTCTTGGTGATGAAAAAGGATAAGCGTTTTAAGGATGGTGGTGGTGGTTATCGCCTGCCACTCGTCGTCACTCTAGTTACCTTCTTTTTTTTCTAGGAAAGAGGAGGACAAAGAGAATCTTGAAAAGGTAAGAGACTAAAAATAAAATTTTGTCTTTTTGCAACATAATCATATATTTATCTAATAAGCCAATGTTATCATTTAAATTTTTATTTAAATACCATTATCAATTGTATAAACAATTATTCTCTTTAGGAGACATTAAAAAACGAAATCAAAAGATTGAAAAATTTATTGAAGAAAAAATCAATTGGATCAGCAGAAGAAAAAAATCATACATACTGTATACATGATTGTTCATTCATCTCTTTTAGTCATCTATTGCTTTCTTGTTTATTGAGAATATCCTAATTAACTTATATTGCTATCACACATATCAACTAATTCTTTTATAGATCAAGATGATTTGGATAAGTTGGCAAAAAGAATTCGGAATTCACCTGGACCTTCAAAATTAGCAAATCCCAAAGAATTTAAAAAATTTGTTGCTAAAAAACACATACCATCATATCATCGGCCAAGTATCCACATACCTTTAGTTTTATTGAATGAAAATTTTGCACAATTTATCATGGATCACAATAATCATCATCTAGATATACTAAAGACTAGTGCCATAAATTATGATCATATAAAAAGTGGTTGCAATTACCTTTGTGACCACTTTTGCAACCATACTTTTTCCTTTTTGGATTATGGCACTAGTCTTTAAGATATACCAACACAATTTCATGATTCTGCATTCAAGCTTTGTCATGAAATGGCAAAATTCTACGAAAATGAAAATGCTCATCTTGAAAAGGAAACCATTTCAAATAGTGATTCTTCAGAATGTGATGGTGGCTGTATAATGACACTATGCGGGAAATTTAATGTTGTGACTCTTGTTCTTGAAGTTAAGAATGAACTTTGTTGTGGAAGTTCAGAACCAATTTTACAAGCTAATCTTTGGTATGCAAAACGTTGGAGTGATGTTAACAATATCATGATATTAATGTTGCAAAAAAATTGGGCTGTCCTGCTTTTGTATTGATTCTTACTGGACCTTGTCTTCATGTGGGTTGTGCTGTGGCAACACCATCTTTTATCTGGGATTGGCTTTGTGATCCAATTTATTTGCTACCATCAATGGATTGTAATCATTATCATCGAGTTGCACATCTGCTCTATGTTCTCAGAAATGGACTTCAGAATTTGAAAAGTTTCTATGAAAAGACAGCAGAAAATTTACCAATAAATTTTTTTGCCTCTCGGATAAATGATAAAAATGACAACACCATTTTTAAGAGTCCTTCTCCTTCCTGGTTTCCATTTCCTTGTAAATTTAAAGATGAAATAGAAAAAGAGAATATATATATTTTGAACAATTATCTATAAAAAAATCAGTATTCAAAGCAGCTATAGTGGATAATCAACAGAAAATCATAGTCAAATTTACAAAAGAATATGGTAATAAGGTGCACAAAATCTGTGAAGAGAATAATTTTGCACCAAAATTATTGTATGCAGGGCATCAAGAAGTCCTCACTTGGACTATGATTATTATGGAGTATATGAATAGAGCTATAAGTTTGGATTCTTTGGACATTGCTGAATATTCAATGGAAAAACGAATAGTTATTTATAATGGAATCAAAGAAGTTGTAGAACTAATCCACAATAATAACAAGGTATTGGGTGATCTTTGCCCATCCAACATAGTAGTTTTTGACAATAATGAAGATAAATGTAGCATGATGATAATTAGTTTTAATTGGGCTGGGGAGTGTAGACTTATGAAGTACCCTCAGTATATGGACCCAAATATATTATGGCCAGCTGGAGCCATTGGTGGCAACCTTATAACATTTGAACATGATAAAGCAATGTTAGGCCAAATCAAACACTTACTTTATTTGAGCAGTGTAAACATTTAGAATTATGTTTCATAATAATGACACTAAAATATCAAATATCAACATTTATCACTTATATATATAGAATTAATTCAAAACATTTACTTTTTTTAAGATTATATAATGCAAAGAATAATTTCAGTTTCAATATTTATAATTTCTGTACATGAAACAATGCACAAAACCTCATCTTTACTAATGATATAATTCATAGATTTGGTAAACACTTTTTCTAAATTATATTTTTTTTCCTTTTTTTGAAATGGTAAATAATATAATTTATTATTATTTTATAAAACATGTAGACAATATTTCTATTCATAAACTATACACATTGGTTACTATTTCAAATTCCATTTTTAATTTATACTGATTCTTTCCATAATATTAAGTCAATTAAATAAGTTATTATGCTCATTTGATTAGTAAACTTGTTTTATTATAATGTTGTTTAATAATTATACTGGGTGGCAATAATGATTCATAATAAATTTGTTGTTAAATTTAAATTACATTTAATTTAAATAAATAATTCTTTTCATTTTCTTTATCATTATTATAACAATCACAGATATACAGGTCAAGTGTCAAAATTTTTATATTGAAAAAATGAAGAAAAAATCATGCCTTCATATTGTCACCAATTATTATTTGGGAGAATGTGTGTTAATTGATGATAACAATATAAATTTATGATTACGTGGATCAGAATGAATTGGCTATTACTAACAAATTAGTTTTATTAGCAAGTAATTTAGGTTTAGTAATTTAAGAAAATGTTTTATTTAGTCAAAACTAATTTATTAACTTATTTCTAAGTTAATTTAAAACTTTTATACAAAGTTCTTAAAACTAAGACAAAGTTATCACAAAATTATTTTACAAATATCTCGAATTTGAGCTTATTATATACAATTAATTAGTAGCAACTTCATTGCAATCTAGCATTTTAACCACTTTAATAAAATACAAATAGAAAAAGAAATAAGAAATATAAGGAATAAATAAATATAGATATAAAAATAAAGTAAAAATAAAAATAAAATATTTGACTTGGAATTAGGGTATTTTGGCCAACAAATCAGCATTAAATCCTAACAATATCCTTGATCAGTTATTAAAAAATCCACATGGTTTTAAAATACTTTGGTATTTTATTAGTAATTAAGCTTAGATTTTTTGTTCTAAAATCTAAAATAATAATATTTTATTAATTTAAAAATTTCATATAATTTTACCTCTTCAAGACATGATTTAAGATGATGTATCAATGATGTGAATTCATAAACACTTGCCCAACATGTTTTAATGAAACTCTTTAATCCACACCACTTTGAATCAATTTTAATATTAAAGCATGTATGTATTTGCTGAAAAAAGTAACTACGTGTTATGTGTGTGTCCCCTTTCAAAATGTACTATATATAATCCTTGGGTTCCATAGTGGATCTGATATAAATTAGTTTCATATTAACTATTTTATATAGGGATAATTCTATATATCACTTAAGATAACAAATGGGACATTATAAAACTGTTAATTATGATCACATTACAAATGACTAAATTTTGATCCCTGAAATCTTTGTAACACTAATGTTCACTTTGTCTGGTTTTGTTGCAGTATGCCCCATATGATGTTGGGTGTAATAACAACAACAACAATAAATTTTCTTTTTAAAAAAAGAAGCAATTGAAATCTTAGCATCATTGATAATTGAATCAATCTCACTAACAGATTTACAATGTATTGTGTTGATAGCACCACCAGCAATATTAAAAAACCAAAAACCCAAAGTAATCAAATTGCTAAGTAAAATAAAAGCCAACAATCTAATCAAAATCCTTCCAGTTAAATTATTCAAGAACACATTGGATTTCTCACATAAATTGATTGAAGAACACAATTTAAATTACAATGACAGTTTTAAATTTATATTTGATGAGACTAAATTATTGGAAAATAGCAATTTCCCTGGTCATTTTCCTGCTCCTGCAAGTAATCAAAATCTTGTTCATTGGATTCAGGTAAATAAATGTATTTGCATAAATATGTTATATGTGTTATTATTCTTTCTAACACTCTTCTAAATTAGTCAAGTAGATCAGATTTATTCCAACAGTACCAGGATAAATCAACTCATAACAACGAATCAATTTATGACATATCTGCCTAATTCATTAAAATTGGCTACAATTGTTGGTACAAATGATTTATTGGCTACTCCTTAAAATGTTTCTTTGTTGAATCAACAATTGAAAATGAACAATAATCTAACGTTCACAAAAACTTTTAAAGGTTATGCTCATATGGATTTTTGTTGATCTTTGGATGCCAAAGATACTATTTATCCTGAAATTATAAACTTTTTAAATGAAAACATTAAAAAAATCTAATTGATAATAATAAAATTGAGTGAGTATATTTATTTTAAAGGAGTAAATCTTAAGAATGAGTGAGTTGTACCAATACATAGAAGTTTTGTTTTTCAATATTAATCATTGTGAGAAGTCCATTCCACAATATGAAAACTTTGTATGATTTCTTTCTTTTTTTGTTGAGCTGTATCATTTTTATCTTATTTAACGATTGCACTTACACGTATACATGAAGTTGAAACTATTTTGACCATTTGCAGATCTGGTCAAAATAGGGTCAAAATAAGGTCGAAACTGATTTTTACTATGTAGTTTCCTCAAGTTGAAACATTTCAACTTTGGAGTTTTAATTTCAACTTCATGTATACTTACATGTAATGTATTTATATTAATATATGAATTACAATAATGATGTTTATTTAACTTTACATGCACAAAAGAATTTTTACTTAATGAATGCATATTTGTTTATTAACTTTAAAAAATTTTCTTTAAAACTATAAAATTTTTTTAAATAAAAAAAAGTCAAATGTCAAGTAACCCTAAGTGGTTAAAATATAATGTGTAGTCAGGTCCGGGAAAACTCTATTGAATGTGACCACCAACACTATGATTCAAAAGTACTTTAAAAAAAAAAATGTGACCACCTCACTATAGATTCAATTAATGGAAAATGGAAAAGGTCACCACCTTTATATAATTCGAAGGAAAAAATGTCCTTGGTTACACTGAATTCGCAAACATAGTAGATAGAAAAATGAAAAATGTCATTGGTTACACTATAATTCACATTATTAATAAAAAATGAAAATTCAAACTAAAAATAGTAAAAGGATTCCTTATGATTCACACCAATGACATTTTACTACATACCCTAACTTTCAAGAATTTGTCAATGCTAAAAAAGTTATTTGCAAATGTGGTCACATTATT